ATATATATATTAAAAAGAGTGTTAGAATGAAAATGTTAAATAACGTATTTCTAGTACTCTTTTCCCCTTAATTTATGATTTAGGGGGTGTATTGGATTATGATTTTAAAATACTTTTTTAGTTGAAAAAAGTCCTGTGAATTTTAAAAGACTTTGCAAGATTTTCATGATTTTGTAAGATTCCGCAAGACTTTCAATCAAGATTTCAATGGATTCTACAAGACTTTTAACTTAGCATTTTAATAGATTTTGCGAGACTTTGTGAACTTTGCAAACTTTCGTAGATTTTTGACATATGATAGGATTTTAAGATTTTTTTTCATACATTCAAATTTAAAAAGAGTCAAAGATAAAAATAATAAAAAAAAACAACAATATCTGGATAAATGATAATAATATTTCTTCGTAATATCATATCCTTCTAAATAACATTCACCCACATATTCATATTTATATTAGTCCTCCAAGCATTAACATCTTTTCACTCTAGCTCCTGAGTTTTAATAATAGACTCAAAATTATGATTTTCATCCACCACTTCAATTGAAAATTCATCAAAATGATATTCTTTACGAAAAAAGTTATGTAGTGCTGCACATGTTAAAATTTATTCTAAAAATTTTAATTTTTTTTAATAATTTGTGATTTAAAATACTTTGTTTATAGATTTATAAATGATTAAAAAATAGTGGAATAACTATCCTACTTTTATAATTAAATATGTCCTTTTATTTTATATTGGTATTTGAGTGAAAGTTTGTCTTTCATACACTTTTATTCATCTAAAATATCTTAGAAATTTATAAACATCATTAGGAGAAAAAAAATCTGAAATTTGTTACAGGTACAAAATATTTTTTTAAAATTTTTTAATTGTTTTTAATTATTCAGTCGTGAAGAAATATTTTTAGTATTGAATGTTAAATATTGTAATGTCTTATGTTAATTTTCTTTTTTAAAATATAAAAATCATAATTTCACAATATAAAAATTAAAAAAATAAAATTCATAGTAAAAAAATAAATAAAATAATTGTTGAGTCATAAAAGAGGAAGGATAGGAGTAACAAATTCAACAGAGGGAGAGAGATCACAATTTTTGTGTTGAGAGTGTTCTTCCCCCAACTAAGATCCATTCTTATCTCATTCTATTCACAAAAACCCTAACTCAAATTTATCTTATATATATATATTCTAATAAATCTAAGTTGATTACAAGGTCTTGAAGATTTACAGTTGATTATAGAGATCATAATATCAATTTTAGCTTTCACCTTTCATTTTTCTAGAAGCATATGTTATAAAAAAAATTACTACTTAAAAGTTAAAATTTCAAGCATTTTCTGTGTTATATAACTAAGGAATAATTTCAACTAAATAGAACAAGTCAATTAAAGAGAACGGAGAGAAAAATAGAGCAAATCAGTGACACTATCATTTACGTATAGAAGTTCCACCAAATAGGAGAATAGAATGAAAACAGTAGTACAATATTATATATGAGCAATAGTGCAATATTATTAGTAAGAGAAAAAAAATAGAGAAGACATGAGCATAGAAAAAGAGAGAGATGAAAAGTCACTTCAAACAATCCTCCAAAATCTAATGGGTTTGGATGAGATTATTTTATGAATTTGATATTTATAGATACTATTAAAAAGTCTTTCAAAATCCTTCTAATACAACAATCTTTTAAAATTTCTATATTTTTGAATACCAATGGATTGTTTTTAAGTTGTAAAAAGTCTCAAATGAATATTAATAGATTTTAATGAATTCTTAAAAAAATCTTAAAAATTCAGATTGAATACCACTGAATTGTTTTTAAAGTGACATAAAATCCCTGATCGAATACAGACATTTTTATTCAAAAAAAGTCTTTTAAAATCCTATGAAATTTTAAACCAATACACTCTCCTTAATTTCTTTATGGTAAAGTTATAAGTTTTTGTATTTTAACATATATAAAACTTAACTTTTCGTCTATGCTACATAAGACTAACAATGAATTAAACTAATTTGAAAATATTTTGATATTCAAATTGAGAATTAATTTGTTGAATTTTATTTATGAATGAAATAGGGTGAAAATTATAATCGTTAAATAAATGAGTTGGTTCGGTGTTATGAATCGTATATAATTTAACTTGTTTAATATATTAAATAATATACTTGATATTATTAAATTCATTTAATTAAATTTTTAATTAATTTTATATTATGAAATAAAAATATGTAATTTAATCATAATTTTGAATCGAATCAATCTTAGCTTAGTAAGATTCTTGTTTTAGTTGTGATATCCTTCTAAGTCAAATACATTTATACAACACAACAATGATATAGGACGATATATACTTAGTGGTGTTGGTTCTCACGAATAAAATGATTAATAATAAAGGAATATTTAGTACATGAATATTTTTATTTTGATTTATGTTAAATATTTTTCTTTAATTTTTTTTCCAAAAATCTAAATTTATTATTTTTTATATTTAATAATAATTTTAGAGTAGATAAATAAATTTATTTTAAGGACTTGCAAATTCTTTTAGATATGATAAATATCAATATAATATTAAAATTATTATAAATAACATTTAAGATAATTATTTATCTTTAAAAAAATAAAAAATAAGAACTGAAAATAATAATTATAATTTTATAAAAATTAAAAATAATTTTTATTAAAAAAATTAAAATCAAAACTTATTAATTTTATAAACAGTAATAACGTATTTAAGTCAAAAGTAAATATATATATATATTTTTTGAATTAACGTATAAAATATGCAATGTGATCAGGATCTGACGTTGAAATTGAAATGATGGAATGATAAAACTGTTATCTAAAACATGATAACGATCTGGAGCAAAGCATGTGGATTGTCGCAGAGACTCCGCGAATCTAGATTTTGATTCGTGCAGTGCAGTGCAGGTTCTCATAATATTCTCCGTACACCATATTAAGCACTCACACCCACACCCCTCACTGCTCATCAACTTGTAACTCCGCAAAACTTTCAATTTTTAAAAGCTCATATTTTTGTTTGAAGCAATAACCCCTTTAAGATGAGGCCAAAGATTTTTCTTTTCGGCGATTCAATCACCCAGGATTCATTTGCTGAAGCTGGATGGGGTGCTTCTCTTGCCAACCATTTCTCCCGCTCGGTACTTATAAACAATGTCAAATCATTTTGATTCTTTTTTTCTTTTCATTTTTCTGCTTAATGGGTATGATCATTTTCATGTAAATGGGGATTTGGAATGAGAATAGAGATCGATTTAAGGCTTTTGGTATCATTATTTTTTGAGTCAAGACACACAAAAGGAGAGGGAGTGAGAGTTTCTCATAACCAGAAACTCTTAAATTTCTGAGAATACAATAGAATTTCTCAAGAGTATATATTGTTTAATTGTATTCATTATTTTTTTTCTTCATTTTCTTCTTAATGAGTAAGATGATTTGTATGTAAAGTTTGAAGCTTTTGTGAATGGGGTTGATGATCAGGTAGATTTGATGCTCAGAGGGTATAGTGGCTACAACACGAGGTGGGCGTTGAAGGTGTTGGATAAGGTTTTCCCTGCAACACAAGATGGTGATGGTGGAATGAATGGAGCTCCACTCGCTATCACTGTTTTCTTTGGTGCCAACGATGCTTGCCTTCTAGATAGATATGGAGCTTTTCAACATGTGCCTCTCCTTGAGTATAAGCAGAACCTTCACTCCATTGTGTCCTTCTTCAAGGTAAGTTCGCCTTTGTGTGCGTGTGTGTTGCAAAATTTTTTCAAATGATTAGGCAAAAGTTGCACGGTGTTGGAAACCAGGAAAAAAAAAAAAAGGAAAAAAATATGGTCGCTATTTTTGTTTCAGACAAAAGGGTTTTGACACATTTGGAGCTTACACTGTTCTAGTGCATGTTGCAAAAGGGTTAATCATTTTTCATTTGGTGGGGTCGAGTGTTATGATGGCTGTTTCTTGGTCTGGATGGTTAAAGATGGCCGTGGAGACAGGAGACCCTTGAGAATTGGGAAGTGGGGTCAAACAGATGGCAGGAATGCTGTTTGGTAATTGCTACAAAGATTTTGAGATAAGTTATTAAAAATTTTACATAATAAAAATTATAAGGTGTTAAAAAGGTTGAACCAAGATGGTGTTGTCTGATTCGTTGCTTTAATGGTTGTGGAACTGTTTGTCTAAAGGTTGACTTTTATGTTCCTGTTAGGATTCAACAGCAGGCTTCATTAAAAAAGCCATTACGAGTCCTCACTCGAAGGCACAAGAAATTGGGACCCTTAGAGCATCTTCAATTGGGGATTGTTTAACTCCCTCTACCACATCACTATTACATCAGCTCTGGTTTATTTTATGGTTTAAACAACTTTGCTAAAATTTAAACAATACATAAAGTGAGTCAGAATTGATGTGACAGTAATATAGCACAGGCTCCTATTGGAGATGCTCGTAGTACCTTAGTGTAAGTGGAGAATATTAATAATTAATGGGAGAGTCGAGGGAGTACGGAGGTCTGATATATGTAATAAGGAGAGAGAATATGGGGTCACGTTTATGACATTTGTTAGTTGTTTGGAGCCTAGAGGATATTGTCTGGCTTGGGAGCTCTTGCTCTTCTGTATCTTCCTTGGAATTTTTCATTGAGAAATACACAGAAATCCGAAATCCATTTTTATCTCTATAAAAGTCTGGTGCTTTCATTGAAAGTTGGACTACGGGAAAGGATTACCTATAGACTGGATTAAGGTGCAAATTGAATATTGATAGATGAGTGAAATTATTAAAGAGAAAATGACTACCACCGAATCAGTGTCGATATAGTGAAACTCATAATGGACGTCAGTCTTTAAAAGGGGGCGACAATGTTAGGAATTCTACATTGAGTTAAAAATGAAACTCAATGTGGTACTTAAGTCTTAAGGCTCTTCCACCTAATAGACTAATCTTTTGGGTTGGATTTTCCCGTGGGAGGATCCTAGGAGTCGTTGATTTCACAACCTTAATCTTGTGTTTTTTATTTTTTTTCTTTCATTGGTGCCATGTGATTGTGTTTGGATGACTCTGTGCTAAATCTTTATTATACTCATGCTTTGTATATTATATGGTTTCCTAGTTGTATGGTATGCAAGCAAGAAAGGATTTTGGAAGAGACCCTCATTTACTTTTAGCATGTAATGGAAAGATTGGTGCCTCCTTAAGGATTAAGACATAACCTGAACATTCCTCGAGGAGGGTTATCAAATCTTCTGAGGCCCACAGGTTTAAAGAATGATGACTCCTATTTTATTTTAAGGGGAATATAATTATGTTTCAAGGATGTGGACTGTAGTCATGGTGAATGTAACAAGTGACAAAATAGAGAAAAGCTTGCTATTTGCATGTTTTGAAGGATTAGGGTCAAAAAGTTGATTGTGCTATGCAAGACTATTGACAAAGGCAAAGGTAAGGCGAATTATCGCTTGATACACAAAGACCAAGCTTTGCTGTTGGATTTTCATGCTTTGATTAACACCACTGTATTAGGGACTTATTGAGCTCAACATGATGGTGTGTAACTAACCAATATCTCTGTTATGTTTTCAAAGTTTGGTTCTGACTCTGAGGAACCTATCATGAACTACGAGATGAATTTCCATCTGAAAAAAAAAAACATGTCCTTGGTATTTCTCTATCACATATAGTTGTCCTTGAATCAGTTAAAATAGAATAACTTCGAGTCATATAATATTGGAAAACATGAAAGGAGTGCCTGTTACTAGTACCTCAGGTGGAGGAGATTCCATTTAATTTTCCCTCCTTCATTTTGATGTTGTTTAATCAAATTTGTATATTTATGTATGTTATGTAATGTAAAATTTTGTTTGAAAATCAGAAGCGATGGCCAACAACCCATGTTCTCCTCATAACACCTCCTCCAATCGATGAAGAAGCACGTCTTAGGTATGGCTTTAATGGCCTTTAGTTCTTCATGCTGTCACTGCTTTTACTAACTTTTCCATTTTCATAAAATTTGAGACATACCAATAGAGGTTAAGCTCAAAGTTTTTCTAAAATTCTGTTGCAGATATCCATTCGCAGACAATCCACAGGGCCTTCCGGAGAGGACAAATGAAGCTGCTGGTGAGTATGCTAGAGCCTGCATTGCTGTGGCTGAAGAATGTGGAGTTCCTGTGATTGATCTCTGGACTAAAATGCAGCAGTGCCCTGACTGGAGAGATTATTTATGGTATCTGAAACTTTTTACCCCTTACGTTTATTTTCTTTGATTGCTTTCTGATGTAGTCATTCGGTAGCTGTAAATTTTAAGAGATCCAAAACCATTCAGCTTTTCATCAAATAATTTTAAGTTTTTAGGTAGTTCTTGCCATAGTATCAACAGTTATATAACCTGAGAATCAGGAATTGATCCTTGCTAGATGCTACCCTGATTTTTTATGTGTATCTCTATGCTTCAAGCTTAAACAGTAGTTTTGTAAATATGCAAAATCATTCTTATGCCTTCCTTCTAATAGCTTGGATTTTAGGAGAGATAATAATCATGATACATGGATTACCTAAATAGTATTACCTCTGGTCCTAATTATAAGGAACATAAGACAAATCAAGATCAAGAAAAGTGTTTAAATTAGTTATTTTTAATTAATTCTATCATAAATTCAAATTTTATTCTAAAGATACTCTTTACTTTAAGTAATTGTTGTATTTAATGTTAGTTATAAGTGAATACATAAGAAATAGAGTACCAATAAATTAAGAGTACAAAAAAATTCATCCTTGAATAACTTTAAAAACTAATGGTTGTTGTTTATAATTAGGACTAAAGAAAAATCTAATTTATTGCTTATAATTAGAACCGGAGGTATTATAAGGTAAACTGTGGTTGTGCATTGTTCATTCTCCAAGTTCAAATACTTCTTGCATGCATTTAGGAACTCTTTAAATTTTTAGGAGAGTTGGTCCTTGTAACAATGGTCATTATTTATATATATAAGTATGGTGTAGAAGGTTTTAGTGTGTCTTGCCTTGTCTTATTTGTCTGCCCACACCAGCAATGATTTTGTTTACTGATTTTGTTAACTGAAACGCAGTGATGGTTTGCATCTCACAAAAAGTGGCAATCGAGTTGTTTTTGAGGAGGTAATCATGAAGCTGAGAGGCAAAGGCCTGAGTCTAGAATCTATACCAGTTGATCTCCCACTAATAGCTGATATCGATCCTAATGACCCTCTGAAGTCATTTCAGTAATAATAGATTATAGATTATACAGTAGGGGCTATTATTATGCCTTCTGCTGGCTTTGTTGTGCTTCTGCCATTACATGTTAATTGAGTAAGTTACCTGATAATATTTGGATCATCTTTTGTTGTTGCTATTATCTACTAGAAAACCTCTTCAATAATCAGGGTGTTTTTTGTGTTAGTTTATGCCTTTGCAGTTTATAGATGATTTAATTTTGGATAAATTACACTTGCCTTCTCCAATAGATGCTTAAATTAGATTACACTTTTCCTCTATTTTTGAAAAATAAATTCCTATTTCTTAGAAAATTATTGTGTTACACTTAAGTTTATTCTAAAATGAATGGAAAATTTAAACATTAAGGCTCATGACAGGAAAAGATAGAATAAGAGAATTATAAGTTTTTCGACTTTTAAACAACTATTCAATGTTTAACGAACGCTATATAAGAAGGGGTTCAGTTAGTTCAATAATAATTTTTAGAGTTATTTTTCATCTTTACTTTTAATTTTCTTTTAATCTAAATGAGTTACTCGGTAGAACAGTTAAATTGAAAGAAAATGAAATTGGATAAAGTTTCAAAACTTATTAATGGTGGTTAAACATTATTTCATTTCAAAACTCTTAAAATTGATGATAAGGGTTTTTAAAATGAATGACATGAAACGCAGCAAGAGAGAGTAAAAAAGTTCTAATAAGCTCGGTCATAGTAGTTTACATTTGTCGACAGGTTAGCTTATATTTAATTGAATTGTAGCATATTGCATTTCACGGGAGAAGTGTAATTTTCAACGAGATAGTAATGTAATTTAAACATCTCTTGAAAGAAAAATGTAATTTATTGTTTTTGGCTATGTTTAAATTGGTTGAAAATTGAATGAAATTTAATCATTCACCAACACAAAATAAAATTGAACGAAATCTAATGGAATAAGATGAATTGAAATGAAATTGAATAAGAATGTCATCCAATTGTTTGAATATCTTACGATAAAGCTTAGCAAAACTTTTATTCCTTTGTTTGAAAGTAGTACTAAACAGAATAAGTTATAACTTTTTAATTTTTATATTATTTTATTTTAAATATATAATGACTCGTCGTAGTTCCTACACTTAGTGAAATCATGCTAACTACATTAGTTAACTAAGAAAAGTTATTAAACTAGATAACAATATAAACATGTATATAAAAATAATAGTAAAACCACACCACTATATACAAAATTTAATGCTATGTATATACAATTGTCCAAATAATAATACTCTCCTAGTGTCGGTCAAGCACCTCTAAACAGTTATCCTAAGTGGTAACTCTAACACTAGGACAAAACTCTTCAACACAGTATGATCATCATAGTCCATCCACATAGAAACAGAAGGGTAAACAATCATACAAGCATAAGAATAAACTTCTATGCTACTCAATCATCAAGTTAACCATCATACTCATAGAGTCACACCATACCCTCTATCATACAACAATCATGCAACAATTACAACTCATGACAGATATCCATATATATCAATCATTTAATGCGTCGTTACGCATTCACCTAGGAGATCTTCCTAACAACAAAAAAGTATAAGTGATAGATCATCTTATCAAAACCACTTCAACCATTTTCACGTCCAATGCGCCCGCTTGATCACAGCAAATCAAGATATTAAATCTCTACTCGGATTTACTCAGATGATGTCATTTACACATTTGGAAGTCTGATTCCACTGTTAGGTATAGCTTAGTTGAGTACAGGCTTACCACGACCTTGACATGCATTACCAAGTCACTTGTGGAGTTTTCCCACCGATTATCTGTAAGGAACCATGCAACCTTCCCTAGTACTTAGTTAAGAGAATAACTCTCAACCTCATACCCTGCTCCAACACTAGCTAAGGACTTAGAGAGGAGACTCACCCAAGCCAGTGGCCTATCCAAGCACCATTCTCACCCAAAACTAATGGCCTATCCAAACATTACTCTCATTTATACTAGTGACCTATCCAAGCACTACTCTTAAGAGACTCTATGTGAGCTCTTCTAGTTCAAAAACATTTTTTTCTCTCCTCAAGTCTAGGCTAGACACATGCCATAAGGCACCACATGCAAACAATGCATCATACATCATACATAATCAATCCAATATCATGATCCATATCTTCCTCATATAAATTAACATACAAATCAAATCATGTTTAAACATTCATATACCATACATACATGATCCAACATCAACATCAATACCAATCAAGACATTTCAACTCAGCCACATCAACATAAATGTGACTCACGCCTAATGTAGCCCAGCTTGTGCCCAACCCAACAGAGTCAAAGGCTCCTAGGGTTCTTCACACCTAGTGCATTCATCCTCGCGTCTGGTGCCCACCAAGTCAGAGAGTTACACGCCCGATGAATAACTATCTCGCTCGGTGCTAAGGACCCACAAATATTGTCCTAATGGAATCACACCCGGCGCAACTTATCTCACACCTAATGTCATAGAGTCAGAGACTCCCAGGGCATCCACGCCCGACGCAACAAGTCTTGCACCCGGCACCATATCAATAGCGACTTACCTATGCCAAGTTTTAATATCGCGCCTGGTGCCACCCCTTTCACACCCGACGCCATTCATCTAGAGGCCATAATTTCAATTCATGCCTGGTGAGACTAACTTCTAGGATAAATTTATTTTTAGTCCTTCAAATATAAAATTATTATTTTTAATCTATGTAATTTTAAAAAATACTATTTTACGAGTTTAATGTGATATTTTCACTAACATAAATATCAGAAAATAGATTTTATGCGACAATATTTGACAGATTTTTTTTAACAAAATTTAAGTACAAAGACTAAAATAATTTTTTTTTGAAATTACAAAAACTAAAAAGACAAATTTTAAATTTGAGATTAAAAACTAATTTATCTTAAATTTGAGAGACTAAAAATATATTTAATTCTTTATAATAATTACAAGATCCTCAATTAATTTTTATTATTATTTTAAACTATAATGGTTTGTTCAGATATAAAGTATATTCCTTTTGTGATTTAATAAAAAAATTTCCTATTAAAAATATGTAACAATATTTCAATATTTATTTTAAACTGTTTTAACAAAATTAATAATAAAAATAAATTATTTTTTAAAAAATACGTTATTTATTCAATTTATTTGAGAAAGTGACAAAATCAAAATAGGAGAATAACACATAATTTTATTTCATTTATGCTTTTATTCTCACTTTACAATTAATATATCTTCCATATCTAACACAATCATAATTGTTATTTTAAATATATATTTATTTACATTGTTCAATTTTATTTGTTTGTTTGCAATGGTTATTTTGTTATTAAATTTTTTTACACAATTCTTAAAATGAGTTATTAATAGACGCCCAAAAACCTATTTCAAGAAATTTTTATCTTCTCTCATGTTTCGTATTCTTTTTAGTTGTGTTTAATTACATCTTTTTTTTTATAAATAAATTTACTACACACAAAAAAGAAACTTTAATTTTTAACATATATACAAAGTTTAATGGTAGCTACTATAATGACAATACAAATTAAACAAGTATTAAATATTTACATTTTTAAATTTATTTATTCTAACATTAATGAAGAATAAGATGCTAAAAGATAGTTTTAAAAATATAGATATTGAAACAAAGAATGTTAGGTTAGAATACTTGAAAATATAATTTACTCACACATTATTAACTTTTTATTCATTTATATATTTAAATATCTAATAAAAAAACTTATGTTTAAGCAAAAGAAAAATATATAAAAACTTTAAAAAAAATAAATTTAGATATATTTTCTTTTGTATAAAATAAGTCATGTTAGATCAATTTTAAAACAGGATTCACTTCATACCAATTTTACTTATAAGATATATAATAATTATAATAATAATAATAATAATAATAATAATAATAAAGAGACTAAATATTATATTATTATTATAAATATTATAGAAACATAAATACAAAACCTTTTCCATAATAAATTTTTCTTTTGTTTAAAAAATTTGTACTAGATTTTAAACTTGGAATTTCACATGTAGTACCCCAAATCTCTCACCTCTAATTATAATAAATTTATATTCCATAGTTTAAAATTTATATTTAAAGTCAAACTAATAAAATAATATAATATATGTTTTATATTTGTTGTGAACGTCTTTAAAAAGAAGTAGTATTTTAATTTATGTAAAGTTAAATGTTTATAATATATAAGTAAATTTATAATAATTATATATATATATATATACTCTATTTAAAAATATAAATTATATTTAAAATTTATATAAATAGATATTTTAAATTATTCAAATAAATATTTTATATTTTGACACAATATTATTTTTAAATATATATACTTTATTTTTAAATATTAAAAATTATTTCATAAGTAATATAATAAGTAAAAATTAAATAAGACAATAAGCTAAAAAAAATTATTCTCTCATTAAAAAAAATCTCTAAAAAAATACTCTCATAAAAAATAATCGTATATACAGGATGAATTAAATACTTTAATTAAAAAATTCGATCTAATTAAGACAAATATCATTCAAAATTTTAAAATGCAACAATGTTGTTCTTAATGAAAACTTTAAACTATACTGACACATGCAATACAAATACATTTAAACATAATGTTGCTAATACAAAAAGAAAAAAAAAATTACATCCAAAGTCCTAACAGTCAGAGTGAGGTTGGTTCTCAGCCGGCTTGACAAATCTTTTCCAGTAAGGGTGTTTTTGCCACACGCAATACATCTCTTCTATTGGAACTCCTTTAGTTTCTGGCAAAAGCTTGTAGATGAACACATTCATGACTACTACAAAAAATCCAAAGAAAATGAACAATCCAAACTTCATGTGGCATAGCATGGCAGTGAAAATTTGAGCAATGGCAAAGGTGAAGATCATGTTGGTGGAAACATTGATACTCTGAGCAGCAGATCGAACTTGAAGAGGAAAAATCTCACTGGGAACCAACCACCCCAAAGGACCCCAAGACCATGCAAATCCCGCAACATACACGCAAATAGCTACCACCACAGCTGTAGCATACCACGTTGGCAACACACCAGGGTTTCCATTTATTCCAAACTTATATGCAATTGCCACTGTTATCAACATCTGCATGTACACACACCCAAACACATATGTTTGTTAATTATGTACACATTAATTTTAAGTTTAAACAAACATATATAAAAAAGTGCATGTACGTACCTGACACACGAACATCTGAGCCCCACCAAATAAGAAAAGAGTACGTCTCCCGAACTTGTCAACCGATGCAATGGAAACAAGGGTGGCAACAGCATTACAACCTCCGGTGATCATAGCAGACATTAGTGAAGCATTGGCACCAAAACCAATGGTTTTGAACAAAACAGGAGCGTAGAATGTTATGACATTCATGCCAGTGAGTTGTTGGAAGGCTGGAATGGCAATGGCCATGGTGAGATGGGGCCTATAGTGCCTTGTCAGTAAACAAGTCCAAGGGTGTTTCACACTCTTTGATGATTCACTCGCTGCCACTAAATCCTTATACTCCTCCTCAACGTCGCTTGTGCCACGAATTTTTATCAACTCTTTTTTCGCTTCCTCGCTTTTACCACGCTCAATCAAAGAACTTGGTGTATCGGGAAGAAAGATTGCACCTAAAATTATCATTATTGCAGGAACTGCTGCAAACCCCAAACTATAGCGCCACCCTTCTCCATTCTCCATTTTGGAGAAAACGTAATTCAGAACATTCGCCACAAATAACCCTATTGTGATCAACAACTGGAACATCATGTTTAGAGCTCCTCTATACTTGTAGGGAGCAATCTCACTCACGTAAATTGGCACAGACTGTAGACAAATTAAACAAAACAACACAACAAAAAAGTCATTCAATCAATTAATACATATGTAACAAAATTAGAGTATGTATGAATACAACTTTAAAAGCTTTTTTAACTGAAAAATATTCTTTACTTTTAACCTAGAAAGCTTTGAAAAACAGTTATAGAGTGAGTGTATAAGATAAAAATAATTACCTGATTGGAACATCCAATTCCACAACCAAGAAGCAAGCGACCTACGATAAGCATCCAGACTCGTTGGGCGAATGCATTCAATCCAGCACCAGCAAGAAAAAGCACACCACCAGAAATCATGGTGAGTCGTCTTCCGAAGACTCTAGTAACCGTGGATGCACCAATGGATGAGACAAGAGCAGCCAAGTACAGAGAAGAAGTAAACAATGTTAATATTTGGCTGTCAAATTTGCAGTACTGGTTCACCGACACCTGTATGTTGTGCTCCTTTTCATACACGTCTGGGAAAAATTTCTTCAAGAATGGATCCATTGACGTAACTCCACCTGTCATTAATCAACAAATTATTCATCATCTTAAGGGAATATACATAGTAATGTATTACTATTAGAGTTAGAGCACATAAAATGTAATTTATTTGGATGGAAAAACAAACCTGAGATGCCCAGATCGTAGCCAAAAATTAGCCCTCCAAATGCAGCAACCAAACAAGTGATGAAAACTCTGAAAGTAAGCTTTCCGGGATAATCTTTCCCAGAAGCATTAGATATGACCCCTCCTGCCATTGTCTTAACAGATCAATGAAGAAAGTAGAAAACTGAAAGCTTTATGAATTCTAATCGAGAGAGAGTAAGTGAGTGAATGCTGAAAAACAGTTCGACCTTGAAATATATAAGGAGTGAAAATGGTAATGACCAAAAAACAAAATCAATTAATTATCGACAGTTATTAAAGATTAAAGATTTTGGATAAAATTGATGGTATATCTATCTATCTTTCAGTTATTTCGAATATTTATTAGATAACAAAATTTAAATGTATAAATATTTATTAATATTTTTATTCACAGCTCATAACTCAAAAATAATTTGAGGTGTTTGCGCGGGTTTGAAAATGTTAGAAGAGGTTCCAGTGGAAATTAATGCAGCCTTGTTGATGACTGATGCTTAGAAGATCACTTTCCTCCTTAGAGATATCGTTGCTTTATTACCTTAATTATATGAGAGCACTTTGAAGAACAACATAAATTTTAAGGATTGTCTTAACTTATTATCTAATTTAATTTCAAATTTATTTATGAATTAAATTTTAATATTTTTAAAATAAATTTGTGCCATAATATAAATTATTTAGTTTAAATAAAAATATATTTTATTAATTAAAAAATATCTATTTATATAAATTTTAAATACATATATATTATAAATTTTAATTATATATAATAAATATTTAACTTGTATAATGCACAAACTAAAATACTAATTTATAAATAAATATAATAAATAAAAAATTAAAAAATCTCTAAAATTTCTCACAAACAAGACATGACGGTTTGCATTTAATAAATAAGAGTTGATAAATATATATTTTAAACATATAAATTATATTTTAATATAAGATATATAATGTATATTGTCATATAAAATTTTAATTTTTATATATCAAATATAAATGACTATTACAAAAACATCTTTAAAAATGGTTATTTGACGGAAAGAAATTTTAAGATTTGTCTTAACTTATTATCAAATTTAATTTCATATTTATTTATAAATTAATTAAATTAAATTTTCATAAAACCGCCATAAATAAAATGAAGTCCCCGCCTGAATCACTAGGAAACTTTTATTTCGAAGAAAATATTTAACGGTATGACAAAAAGAAGATAATATACTGTTTGAAAATAAGATTTGTATTATAATGTCTTGTCCATACACACTGACAAATCATCGATTACCTGTTAATATACTTAAAATAATAATAATAATAACAATAATAATAATAATAATAATAATAATAATAACTCAATCATTTTCCGATGCTGCTCAACTTTTTGGTACCAAGAAAGGAGTTTAAATATCTATGTTCTCAGTTGCTTTGCTTCTCGTGTAATTTTACTTTATTGGCGGCTTAAGCCCTTTTTGCTTCTCCATAAAAAATTACTGTCCTACACAAAATTTGCAAGAAAACTAAAATAGGCTCAATCTGTTAAGTGGTTGATTTAATTTTGGTATTTGACATATTAAAATTTCTAACTTAGGGTTTCATAAAAAAAATTTACTGTTTGTAAACGATAACGCCTAGAATCAAACATGTCTGTGCACTTGAACGGAGAAGTAAATAAATAAAATGTTAACAAATTCATTTCAGCTAATGATATGAACGGAATAAGCTTAAAACCCAAAAAGTCTTATACTAAGGCCCATAATACAAGACCAAACATTATAAA